TCAAATATTAACAGACATAATCTCAGACACTAAGCTAAAAATTTCTTCTGTTTGTCTTATAGATAACAATGTATTCTTTTCACTACCTCACTATGCATTTTCCATGTCATACTTTAAGTCCCTCATTATTATACAGTTTATAACAAATCTAGACACTTGGCAGTGTGTTGTGGCATTACATTGCGTCACTTATTGTTGCGACAGCCCCTCTGACCCTGAAACACCCAGTAAATTAGAGCTGTTCACCTCGACTGTGTAGCCCTAGAAAAGTGGAGCAAAGTGAGTGGATTCAGGAGTTAATGTGTTGAGCAACAGCCATTATTTACGCACAATTAGGCAGCAGAGAAGTAAAAGAATGGCCAAAAGGAAGAAACCTGCACCTTTGCTTACATTCACAGTATAACATTTTGGAGAGTACTCTATGTGTTCCATAGGATATATTACTTGCTTTATGATTGCAATTTTTGAGAAATTACAGTTAATCCACATATTTAGCATAGCTAAGGGGGTCATCACACATTTCACTACGGCATCAAGATAGCCAGTAAGACAAAATATGAATATCAGTCTATTGAAGAGTCAGGACATTGAGAAGTGGTAGATAGATATACTACACTGTAAGGAAAATTGCTCTCTACATTTGACCCACTAGTCAGGACTTTAGCTGGAGGATTTTGGGTTGCATGTTTGGGTTGATGCAGTCCCTGTAGTGAAACCTGGGACCTTCTGGCTGTCAAGGTATGTTAGCGTCACTATGTACAACATAAAATGTCTTATATTGCATTATGTCTAGTTTTTGCTAGTATAACCATGTGTACGTCCATATTTGATCATTTCCAAAACTTAGTACAGAGGAACACTGTGAGCTGATCTGGACTCTGGAAAGTTCAGTTAAAGGTGCACTACACAACTTTTCTGGTGAAGGGTCTGCCAGCTGTTTGTCTTCAAGGACATGTTATTGCTTTGCCTGGAATGTTCCATGGTATAACATTAAACATATTCATCTAACATTTATTCATTACAGATGTTTCTATTGCTTAAAAATACAATAATTCTTTCTGTGAATAGGAACGACTCTCCACAGATGTGAATGTACAGTATGTAGGGTAGTACTGTAACCTGCTCATCCCCCTTCTGATAGAAGGTTTAAGTTATACTGTGGAAAATTCAAGTCAAGGCAATAACATTTTCATGGAGACATGCAGGTGGCAGACCCTCCACTAGAAATGTTATGCAGTGTACCTTTAAATCTGAACATCAGTTCATGATTTTTTTAATCCAAATCAGGGAAAGCATCAGTTGAGTAGAATGAGATCACAAGTGAGAACTAAACTTGGGAGTATTTTGTGTTTGCAGTTTCACTGTGAAAACTACCAAGAATTCTAAAGAGTCATTTGAGGCAAAAACCATAGTGTAAATTACCACAGATCTCAATAAATTTATGCAGTAGCGGCTGGTATTGGCAAACCCAACCTCTTTATCACATAAATCATGTTATTTATTTGTTGCAGTTGTGGAAAATATTTGGTAAGGTTTCAGGAGAACAACAGATTTTTTCAGTAAAATGGATATTTTGTTCATAATGGAAGAAGCAGCCTGGAAACATGCAAAAACACATCAGTTACATTTTGATTTGTGAGTCACTAATGAATTATACATGGCAGAGCCTTTTTGTTTGATGTATCTGGATATTAGTATAATTCTTGAGCATGAAAACAGCTGAAAAGCTTGATAATAAATGGGTTGAGTTGACACCACAGTGTTTCTCCCAAAGCTTTTGTTGTAATAATTTTCTTAGAATACAACGTACCAAAAATGTTATTCTTTTCAACTGATGTTGTTCCCTCTTTTTCACTTAAAAGAAAAAAAAAATTAAAAGACCTCACAATGAATGATAATTATACATTTTCATCATTTATTTAGATAAACCTAAGGTACACTATAACTTCTTAGGGCAGGGTCCGCCACCTGTTTGTCTACACAGGTTTGTATATATATATAGTTGTTCCTCAGTATGGCATAACTTTTAATCTGTACAGATCCAAGCTTTTCAAGGTGATGGACCCTTCTCCAGAAAAGTTACAGAGTGCACCTTTAGTTCAAATACAGGCCTGCAACAATAACAAATTTTGAACTGTGGTATATTGCTGAAGTAAATAGATGATAGACAATAATACTGAAACCAAACCATAAAGCAGAATTATCCCCCCAAAAGTACTAGTAGAATACTGTTCCAAATATGAGCTGCAATAAATAACAGAATGTACATATAATGAGTCATGAAAGTTATTTATTCACTCCTCTACATCTCAGATCTTATCAAAATATAGAAAAATTACAAAACGTTTCCCACTAGTACAAAGAAAAAGTACCTGTGATAAATATTGACCCTAAAAAATGATTGTTCTGTTACACACTGAACGATAAGTCAATATAGTAATTACTCTGACAGGCCTATTTAAATATGATAAATCTTACAAACTTCAAAAGGAGATTGTTCCAGGTTTGCTAATGCTATGTAAAACTGAAAGGATAACGCCAGCTTCCAGTGCAGGGCCCCATGGAGATAGTATTAGGCACATATTCAAGATGGCGTCTGACTGGGGACTATCCAACATGGCTCTCAGAACAGCTGGCAGTGACACAAGTCCACTGCTCATACTTTAGCTCTCATCACAGCGACAGAAGCCAGCGCAAAGGCAAACTCTCAGCATCTTTGGCCAATGGGTTAAATGGTAGAGGTTAGAAGTACTGCTTGCAAGAGCTTTGATTTCGACACAAACTTCTATTTACAGACCAAAGAAAAGTATTTCAGTGTCAAGATGTTCTCCTGCTGTTCTTTGCTGCCAGTCACACCAGAAAGTAAGTTCACAGAAGCTTTAAATTCCACATGGATTCACATCCTTTCTATTCCAGGGGTAATGCTTTGTCTAATTTCAATGGCAAAATCTGTCATCACAAAATTGTCCGTCATTTCTAAACTGGCCCTTTGTGACTGTTCTCACTCAAAAATCACAAACTTTATTTGTTTAGGTAAAAAAATCACATTTGTGTTTCTGTTTTTCTGAAGCAAACCCAACTGGTACAATAATCTATTGAGTGGAGTGGTTCAAAATCTTCATATGTACAGGAATGTGAATAGAATTGTGCTCTGTTCTGCTTTGCTCTGCTCTGCTTAGTGTAGTCATCTTGTCCTATTCCACAACTCAATGCATTTTATGTCATATCAGACTTTTCAAACACTCTCCTCAACAACACTGGTCTGATAGAGTTGACAGTGATACATGGTGCTTCAGCTGGGACTTGTAGCAACAAGTGTCCATCATTTACTATCAACTGCCCTTTGTGTAAATATTGCACTTGTACTTAGAAGATCTTCAAGAATTTTATAAATTCATAATATCTTGTTGCCTACAATGTGTGTCTGAGTTACTAGACAGTAGCTTAAAGTGAACAGTTATTAAAACTGTGATAAAATAATGTATTATATGACCTTTACTGCTTCCAGATGTGAGCTTTTCAGTTTTATATTTGAGGAAATAACTTCATGTATAGGTTGTTCTTGCAGATGCTGCTGTTGTGCACCATCAAATATTTTCTTAAGAAATATTTTTACACCCTGCCAGCCTTTGTAGCATTAGAGCACAAACATCTCAGCCAATGTGTCCCATCTGTCCACTCAAATTTAACAAATTTAACAAGCTGCCAGGCTGAACAAATTTTAGTCAAATCCAAGTTTAGTATCCAAGACCACCAAACACTAATTCACACTTGTGTGTTTTCTATTGCAATACGTAGTCTCATTGTTTCCACTGCAGCAACCTTTTTATATATTTATTTATTTTTCATTTGGACATTTTGTGGACGAGACTATAGTAATTTTGGCTTTTAGTCCATGTGATAAAATTGACAGCAGGTATTTGATTGGTTATTATTTCCTAACTAGTGTGTTTTGTGCGCTACCTCATCAATAGACCAATTTTCTTCAGTCGTCACTTTTGCCTCTCACCTTGAAGATGGACTTTGCAACCTCATATAAAAAGCTTTGTTTCGCTCCAGTCTGTGGTTGATTAATTGTCAGTTTCTTTGAATGGCTATTTTTCTTGAAGCAGTCACAGCCTTGTTTAGACATGGTAGGTCCAAGGATATTTTACAGCTAGCAACTTTTTGGCCCCGCCTTAATTTACCCTGTCTTCTGTATGAATAAGTACATTTAAATTTATTTGATACGTTTAGAAAATAAATGTTTAACTTTTTTGAACGTTTCTCATTGGCATCGATGTATAAACAAAAATAAGAGTAACAGTGGAATTCTACTGCCATCTGGTGATTGGTGAAGAAATGTGATGCAGGCCTCTGACAGACGGAAATATAACCTACTTAAAATTTAGATTCGTACATAACTGTATAATAACGTTTGTGGCTATTAGACTATATAATCAATTATTTACATAATTTAGTACATATACACCAAAGCAAAGCTTATTGGCTATGTTCTATGTTCTTTATTTCTGTTCTGTTTTTTTTTTTTTTTTTTTTTTTTTTTCTTGTAGCCTCTTAAATGTGAATTAGGCGAATTTCATGCTTGAACTATAAGATATAGATCTACTGTAATTGGTCTAACTCGCCTGCAATGGGAATGGAGGGGTGTGTCTGTTAAAAACTCCAAAATAAAGATCACGTGTCTTTCACATTATTCCGCAAACACTGCCCTCCTGTGGACATATACTGTATGGCAAAAATAACAGCAGTTTAGGACTGGACCATTAACTTGAAAATATTGCCTCGTATTATATATTTAATATATTGATTATATGTATTGCTTTTGGTTTATTAATAACTTTAAATCATCATGATATAGTTATACACTTGCTTGCTGTTTTAAAGACAACTTGAGTAACTTCCTTTTAGATCACCCCGCGGAGTGGCAATAATGGTACGCCCCAATAGTATTGAAGGTAAAGGGAAAAAAACGGTTTGTTGTTACCCTGAGAGGAAGAGTAGATGGTACACGCCGCTGGTGCAGACACTTCCACCACGGTTTACAGCGCTTTTTTACAATTGCATAGATTGTTGAATCTTGACTTTCTAAGCTCGCCATGGCTCTGTGTGGGGGAATCGGAGCCATGGCTTTGCCCAGCGAGCTTATTGTCCATATATTCTCCTTTCTGTCTGATCGAGACAAGCTGCGGGCCTCGTCCGTGTGTTCGCGCTGGAGGGAGTGTCTCTTCTACCCTGCGCTGTGGACCGAGCTCAGACTGCGGATAGGTGGAGGTAGTTCCAGTTCCGATGAGACTCCGAAGCTTGAGTTTCTGATGCGGAAATTCGGTTCATTCGTGCGGGAGCTGCAGCTTGAGCTAGCCCCAGTCGAGGGCTACCTAAGTCCATTGAACAGCGACGCATCGGCCACACGAATGGAGCCCTCCCGCGGTGCAGACAGCGACCCGCAACTCTCCGTGCGTTGGAAAGACGCCATGGTCTCCTATTTGAACCAGGTGTTATGTGTTTTCACCAGCATCAGAAATAATAGGTAACGTTATATTAGCATCACGCTATTGATTTCCAAATAATTGCTATATGGTGAATTTAGGATATTTGTTGCGCAGTTGAGGCTAACAGCTAGCGTTGGTAGCTATAAACAAACCCTGACATTTACTGTTACGTAATCGGGGGTTATGCCTGCAATGTCGCTAATAACCATCTTTTTACGCCTTATAAACCCGTGTTGTTAACGTGACATCCACTGTCTTTTATTTGTCATAAGCATAATTTATTAGTAAACAATTGTTAATTCATTCACACTGTGGTTTCTGTTGCTCGCTAGAAACCTCCAGAGGCTCCGTCTGTATGGAGACACATGTGTTCTTCAACAAGAGGGACTGTTGGACAGTTCCAACCTCCACCATATTGAGCAAGGGGACAAAAAGATCAATGAGTAAGCAAATACAATAGTTCAAAAGCTATTGATGGATGCTGTCTTTGTTATAACTGAATATGATTTATGTGACAGATTACCTAAAATAATAATAGTGTTTTACACTTTTCACTTGACTGTACCTTTTGATTTTGTTTAACAAATGACTGCCACACGAGGGTGTAATTGAGGCTCAAGTTTTCATCCTTGCTTTGCTCATTATGATTTTCTCTGCTCAACAGAATCCAGCAATTGTTCATGGAGTTTTTGTCCAATAGCCGGCAGCTCCGGTGGCTTTCATGTAGCTTCATGCTTGGTCTGGTGACCCCCAGCTCTTTAGCTTGTCTGTCCAACCCTTCAGCAGAAACCCTGCAGCACCTCAGTTTATTGGACCACCAGCTGGGTATGGCATCTTTATTTGTGGACTTGTATGCAAACCTGTAGGAAGATTGTTTTAATTTTTATATTCTGATTTTAGGAATACTTATCTCACCATCAGAGTTGACTCGGCTTTCGAATCTTCAGTCCCTTGCTCTGGATTTTTCTGATTTGACATCAGAGCTATGTGGTTTACTGGCATCTCCACGTCGTACTCCTTTGCATCGTCTCTCGCTGCTGCTCAATGGCGCTGCCCTAGAATTTAAACCATTGGACAGGATAGCTACAGAAGATGACTGGAAGGCACTTGTAAGGATCGGTTTAATTATCAGCATTTCTGACTGAAAAAGGCCTGTAAATTTTTTATTTTTTTTTCAAATAGGTCCGTGTTAGCGCCAATCTGCGAGTCTACATCATGGCTCTTGAAGTGGTGGGCTCTGAGCTCCTTCGGGTCCTCAAACCCAGTCTACCTTTGGAGCGTCTCCACCTCGACAGTTACAGCAATGTTGTGACTGATGCCACTTTGGAGCTCATTTCTCAGCAGTACAACAAAACACTGACTCATTTCCTTCTTTTGAGAGATGACCCTGACTTTCCGGACCTCAGCGTGAATCGCAATGAGGACCCCTTGGTTCTTTTGGCTTGGAGGTGTACGAAGTTGACTGTATTGGTCTTGCATGGTGAGTTTGAGTGTTTCTTACTTGATTTATTTTAATAAAATACTCTGCCATTACCTTTTTTATTTTCTCTCCTGTCCCCCCAAAGGATACACTGTCTGGTCTCATAACCTGGTAGCCATCTCCCGCCTGCGAGGATCCAGCCTTCAGGTCCTGACAGTGTCTGAGGAGAGTATCGACTTTGACCCTGACCAGTCTATGTGCATGGAAGGTGATCCGTTTCATAATCTGGTAAAAGAGGTGTCTTTGGGCCTTGGACGGGTCTGGCACCCATGTCTGGATTCCAACCTGGTTTTATCTGAACCCACCCAGCATTTCCACCAAGAGGTGCATGCTTTTAGCATGGGCATGTAGACAGGGTGGTTTAAGCTTAAAATAGCCACAAAGTGTCAAAACCAGGCCAGGCTAAGTCAGATCAGACCTCAAATCTTTATTCAGAGCAGATATTAGACTCCATGTTTTTATTTTGCTGTTATTTATTTCTGATGTCAGCTAACTGACTACCATTCAGTGTTCTGCTCTGAGTTTGTTGGCACAGTCAGACTGGTCTGGTTTTGTTCACACGTACTAAATTGAGCTTCACCTTATTAACCTCTGCAACATATTTTTTTGTTAACTTTTGCTCTGCTTCTAATCTTAATTCATGTGTGGTGGTTTATTTGCCTCTATAGATGTGTGTATTTGCATATATTGTTATCCCACCCACATTGAAGACAGGACATAGCAGACTTGCTGAATGATAGTGAATGGAATAATAGGGGCTAATAGTGCAGGGGATGAGTGCTTTAGTTCAATGATCTTTTGGCATTTGTCAGTCTTTTAAAATTTATCTCTAGCAGTGAAGGTAAATATACCTAACACTCAATTCTACTCTGAGCCACTTTTGGATGGTCTGATTGGAGCACATTCTTCATTTGTCTTCTGTGTTGAGAACATTTCCAGCTGGGTGGGAATTTTATACAATAAAGTGACTGACCTTGGCAGGTGCAAATCTAGTTTTTGGCTACAGTCATGTGCTTTCCATGACTCAGGGTTTTGAGCATTGTTCAGTAGCATGTAAAGGCCAAGTGCACCTAGCTTATTCAAATATCTGTCCCTGCTGCTAGTATTCCCACCCTGCTAACCTTCTCAACTGTTCTCACGAGGACAAAGGATGGAGCCTTGTCTTCCGACTGACATTTGAAGCCAAATTCTAAACTACTCAAACCCCCTTCACTGTACAATTCACCCCTCTTTTATTTTATTATGTTTAAAGTTGATATATTTACATATATTTTGTATTCTAGGTGATACATCAGTGGTATCCTCCAGAGGTTGATATTTTGACAGGTTACTGTTTCAGAGTGTTACATATTCTGATGCCATTGTGGGCATCCATTTAAAACAATGTGTATAGTTAAACTCTGGAATGCAACACACACATAGAAATGGCTATTTGTTTTCTATCGCCATACATAATGTCTAGTCCAGACATTTCAGGAGGCTGTGCTAAAATAACAGAAATATTTGTTTTGGCAGAGCTTTCAAACCAAGATGTTGCATACATACCAGCAACAGCACAGCCAAACCTGTTTTTCTCTACAGAGGATTTAAGTGTTCTGTAAACAACAGGGACAATGAAACGGATGCACTGAATGTAACTTATTTATCATTCTGTTGGCCAGTCTATTTGTAAGGGTGCTTTAGTTCTCTCTTTCTCCAATATATATAACTCTTACTCTATTATAATATCTACCGCCAGCAGTCAGGGTTAAACATTGCATGTTTCACCAATTGCCAAGACTTGTGTGTGACACTCGCAGCACAACATGGCATTTAGTCATGGGGCTCTTTTCTGTGGCTTATAGGTTATTGTCATCAGTCTCAGGTAGTATTTTAAAATCACTATGACCATAACAATGAGGTGATGTTGTCTTGTAGTAGGATGTGTGAACCAGTCAGTCAGTGTAAAACAAAAATGTTATTTTCAGTCACTGTTGCCTTTCAAAAGCCCTTGTTTTCTGGATGCTTCTGGTGATGTTTCGCTTGCCATTTGAGAAAGCCTCACTCCACTACTGAGGGTTTAACTTAATCATACATTTGTTTTCCAAGATTAAGGTCAAGAATGGCAGAATGCTCATCACACATGTTTTATATCCTCATGTGGCTGTGTGCGTTGGGGCTTTTGGGGGGTTTAAAATCTATGTTTTAGATGGATGAACTGCTGGGCCCAATTGCTGGTGGTACCAACAGAATGTAGTCTTTGATTATTCTTTTATCTAGAGCTTTTTTTAATTTTAAGTGCATCTTTTAGAGATGTCTTAAGCCAACATGTTTGGAAACACTCAGTCTTTGTCAAGGCAACACACTCTTGCTGAGTTACCAAATGTTGCAGCAGGGAATGTTTGGGCCAAGTATTTTGCCATCCAATGCTATAGTGTGTGGCTTTATGTTACAACAACACACTTTACAAAGACAGTTTCTGAGCAGGGATCTTACCAGTTGGTCCTCAGAATGGCCACAGCCGCTGGTTATGCCATATGCATTGTGGTTTTAACTGACTGGGCTGTAATAGGATGGTCCATATCAAGGCTGCTATTGAGTGTATTTACAATGCGCCAGCACTTTTTGTGGTTCACCATGAACTGTTCTTGTTGTTGGGCCTATGGTGTTTGCCTGCTACTTCATGGATCACCATTGTTTAGCCACAGTAATCTCAAATCCTTGGTCTATATCTCAGGAGTAAAGCACTTTGGTACCTATAGTTACTTTGAAACCACCTGTGGCTATTTCTGGAACTGTATGCTCAGATACACCAACATAGGCTATACACCAACGTAGGCTAGTAAAAAAAATACCCCTTCTATTTTCCATCTGAACTCATTCAAATCACAGAGGCAATGTTTTTAAGAGCTGGGATTATGGATGTAGTGAGATTCATCTTAAAACATATTTTTTTTAAAGAAGATCTATTGATTTTTTTAACCTGCATAACCACTCAGTCCTTGCACAGAATGACAAGGTTGTTATGGGCCTGGGCCTTTTTAAGGAGCAGCAATGGCAAAATGTAGATAAAAGCAAAACATTTGTTTAAATTTGCTTTTATCTTTGACCAGAGAAAATTTTACTTTCATGCAAATGTCCATGGGGTCAGTTGGTTAAATGAAGACTAGATCATGCTCCGCATTTTAGCTTATAGCGGTTTATTAAAATGACCCAACTTGTGCCTAAAGCATCTGTATACTCTCTGCTTTTAACCTTTTTTCTCTCTGAATTTTGCCTGTTGTTTGTGGCCCTTGTTGCTTGTTCCCACTTAAGGACTTTGATATTCGAGTTACACTTTCACACATTGTATATCTATCTATATTTAAAATGTCTTGAGTGTGCCTGTGTTGTCTTTGCAAATTGTAATGGTTAGTGTATCTATTAGACAACTAAAATAGTATGTCTGTGGCTCAGGCAGGACTAGTGTTCAGTGTATTATCTCTCATTCTGCAGATTCTGCAGCAGGACGCATGAACAGAAATGGCTTATTCTCAGGATCAAGTTTGTTTTGGAAAAGAGAAGGAGGGACAGTAACTATAACTCAGGCCTAAGGAGTCACTGGATCTGTTCTCCTCTTGTTGTTTGAGCTGCCAAAGACCATAGTGAAACAGACGCTGGTCTGTCTGAAGTGCCCGTGTATAATCTAGCAGGAGGCTGTGTTGACTCCCTTTCGTATTCACAAGGTCATATTCACATACTGATTCACTGACCTTGGCTTTGCTTGCTCCCACTCTACTGTACTAATCTGGATTGGAAGTTTTTTGCCAGTTCTGGGCTCTTCTGCTTGTAATTGTAGTACAGGATGAGTTAACCTGAACCCTATGGTCACCATGCTTAACTGCAAAGCTTTTTGAGTTCAGATTAAAAAGACAGTAGCATGCAAAGACCATGATTTACTCTGGACCTTTATTTTTTAAAGAGTGGGTCAATGTAAAGCTGAAGGCGATAAGGCAAAGAGTCTAAAACACCGGGACTGAACACCATTTGAAAGTTGTGGAGTTTCTATGCAGGGTGGAATTGTTACGAGATAATCACATATTTACTGCATGGCAGCCATGTAACCAAAGGCTTTGTACTATAAAGCCAGTGTGCATGAAATGCTAAGTTGTCAGGTGTTTAGTTCCGGTTTTAATGCTGTAAAGTGATTGCTGCTAGAAATGGTTTAGGAACAGGACATTCCACGTGGCGATTACTCAGGCTATATGCTCTGCATTTAGAACCTGTGTATATACAGTATAAAGGGTTTGAAGAGTAAGCAGGAAATACTGATAATGACTAGACACATCAGCTTAACAGCTGGTCAGAGCAAGGAGAGCTGTGATACCATTCAAAAGTGACTCTAATGAAGCTTGTCTTTTCAGTGTATTTTTTTTGTTTACTTTGTGTCTTGTTAACACAACTTCCAGAGGCCATTTTTGTAACTCTTGTGTCTGGTACACTAAGGAAGGTTTTATCGGCTTCAACTGAGAGAAAAAACTACTCCTTTGCTGTGTATGTGCAAATATGTGTGTATACTATTGTATACACTTAAGTTGGTCTTACAATTAATTTTAAATATTATAAAAGAGAAAGTGATTATCAAGACATTTTCCCACTATCTCTGTAGGTGTACAAACCTCTGTAGGTACAAATGCTTCTGGAGACCAGCAGTTTTATGTACAACTTTGTTATTTCTTATTCATTGGTAAAAAAAAAAAAAAAAAAATTAAAAAAATAAAGACTTGTTCTTCTACAGTACCACACCAGCAGATATTTATTTTCTGTCTCCGTTAAATATATAAAAGAAAAAAATAATCAAAGACAATTCCCTGTGGCTGTTTGAATTCCAGGAGCTGGTCTCTAATGTAGTCCATCTGAAAGTGTTGAGAGCAACTGAAAACTATTGATTGTAGCAAATGTATGAGGGTTCTGTTACATCTACCACATATAAACTAGAGTGGAGGCTGCAACTTCTTTGTGCAGAACCACTAAGGTTTGAGATAATTTATTACCAAAGCAGCATTGTCATATCGGTGTCAGTAAAACCAGACTTAATTGATCAATCATTGCTTATACTGTTTATAAACCCCCTAAAAAGTGTCCAAAAATATTTATTTCTGTAAAGCTAATGAAAACTTTCTCTAATTATGAAAGGCCTTCTCATGTGAGTATAATCACAAAGACAAGGGCACAAACTGCTATAAAACCAGACCTGGAGTTCTATTGGGTTTCTGCTTTCTGTTCTCCTCAAATTCTGTTATCTCTTATGCAAGGTCACTTTGTCCTTAGTGACTTTCTCATTGAGAGGGGTACAAATGTCTTGAGTTGGGGTTATGTATGCTCAGAGTTGACCAATACCTTGTCCAGCATACTGGACTTTACCAGAGTCCAGCCTCCAAACTATGCAAAAGGAATGCATATAATCCACTTGTTTGTTTATTATATTTTTACTGTCACAAGACATACAGTATTAAGATCTTGCAATGACAATACTTGGCCTTATGATAGCTATATTTTCTTTGTTCAATTTACTTTTAAGATGGTTTATTTTGATCAGTCAGTCTAGCGACCGTGGTGAAGACGACAGGCTCACTCTTAGTCTCTGTGAGACTGGTTAGATGGCCTAAGTTTTATTGTGGTACGAATGTTGTCCATTTGTTTAAAATCAACATCGTTTGCAATAATAGTTTTACTAATGGCCACAAAGGGGAACAAGCAGTGCTGACCGCGCCGCTTCTTTAAGAACCACATAATAAGAAGTCCACATTCTATAGATATGTATGTGAAGCTTGCACAGTATTTGTAGATATCAACAATGCATTATCAAAATAAACTGTTATGCAACACATGTCAAATATATTTCAAACCTTATTTCTT